ACAGTACAGACGAAAGCTTAGCACAGTTTCATCGGGGTTGCAGGACTTCGCACTTTGCACTCACGATCAAGTCACGAATCTCCATGATGTTGCTGAGGTGACCTATGCCTGGCTGAAACTGTACTTCTTCTTGGAGGATAAAACCTTTTTGGGAAGCAAGAACTGTCCATTTTAAGGCAGGAAACCCAATTATCTATACTTCACCTTATACGAATCTTATACGACTTAGGTGGTTCGAGTTCGATTTAGCTTTAAATGCCTAATGTTCCCTTACTTTCTTTTTCTCTTTTTGAATCTTCCTGTATACGCACTGGTCTGCTTTTTAACAAATTTTTTTGTGAATTAGCTCAGGATTGATTGTGAAACCCTTTTTATCTCAACCTCTCACAATTTCACACTTCATTATAGTTATACGCTTTTTAATATATTTAACCCCAGGTTCTCTTAAGCACTTTTTGTCACTTGTAGAGCTTTGGAGGACCAGCGGTTATCCTACTAACCTTTGCAGCGTCTTCTCACAGAACCCCGATCACGATTTGTCTTCTGAAAACGCTCAGCTTTTCATGAATCAACAGCAAACTCCTGGCTCAGATTCTCAGCGCTTTATCCCCTCTGCTAGTACAAGTTTAACTAGATAGCATATTTTCTGTCTAGAGATGCTCTTCCCTGACAGAAATCGCTCTGATATCTCTGTTACATTATTCTTGCTCATTCGAGCCCACTTATCTTCATTTCCACAGAACTCCAATCCCCTATGAGCGCGCAATACATAATTCTTTTGCCTACGGCATGAGACACAGATATGCACTTGAGCATTCAGAATGAGGCAATTACTCTGTTCTTCTTCTTGAACTTTACTTCTTATCTTTTACTATTTTATTCTTTCTCATCCAACCCACATATCCCACATTGTATGCTTTATGCCCCTAGCTCTTGCCTCTGTTATTGGAAAGGCTTCTCATTTCTATTAATTATTGCTTGTGTCCTTTATGATGTGGTGAAGCGATACTTGGTTATTATTCTTTGACACATTGTTTCCTTCTTCTTAATTTATTTCCTCTAAAGCTCCAAATCTCCTCTCTTTCGTGCTGGCGTGGCATCTTTTCCGCACCTGCTCTTGTTCTCTTCCTGGTCATCTCACAACGCATCTAGTTTTGGTCTCCATGTCCGTTTACAACACTTATTTTCATTCTTTCCCCTTTTCCCATCCAAATCAGCACCTTTCATTGTGTTGTGGTCTTGCATGCAGCAAGTTGACTGGGCTGCTTCTAAACTACAGCTTTGGATCGGGTGACGTACACAGCCCAATTCTAGGTGGACAGAGCATAAAACAGAGATGCAAATTATATTTCGACATGCTCCTGCTTGGCATGCTGGCATTTGATCCTTGCTTTTACATAATTTTGGACAGTAGGTATAATTCGATTGTTTTATCATTAGGTCTGCTGATACTTCAAAATGGGGTAGGCTTAATTTTTGGAGACGGAGTCGATTTCATAAAATCTCGTATATAATGCATGGACATTTTGGGGCAAAATTGACTTCTGACACTACTTTCCAAAGTCCCAAACTGTGTGAATTAAACGGCCCAATGTGACAGATAGGTATAATAGGATAAAGCTCTGGAATGCCTTTTTAAGATAGACAAAAATGGCTTTGAGATCGCTTGCAACATGATCAGGTGCACTTTCGTTCAGTCATTGATTTATAGGTATGTGGGAGTATTAATACAAAACATAGTAGACTTTGAATATCGTAGTGCTTAAATATTTCAGAATACTTACGAGTGTGTTCTATTCTCCTGACGATTTATTGACGAGCTTGCAGTAGGTCGACGCCACTTCGATGTTTGCGTTTTCTGTAGCTGCTTGCTTTTGTACATGCTAATTCAGTGTTAAGACTTATACTTGTGGAGTCAAGTTAGTCTGACTCGAAATTCGCTGTTAATCAAACTGATTAACCCTAATAACTTTCGAAAGCAGGTAATTTCTCTAGAGTTTTGATGCTAAAAATGACATAATGGGCTACCAAAATATCAGAAATGTTAATTCTTATCCAAATGTAGCTGCGTGTTTGGTTCACTTATGCTCTCAGTTGTCTACATTTCTTCTCTGATCATACCAGGGCAATTACATAGAACTGACCTAGGTCCTAAGTTCTTCAGCGTCTTAAAAATAATCCCAAACCTATCACACCTTCTTGGTGCTGCAACGGCTATATAGAAAATTAGTTAAGGGAATTGTGTTCCTTTTTCACTAGTTTCTAAGAGCGGCGCGTCTGACGATATTTGAAATACATTAAATCTGCAGAATGTTGCTATAAATTGCCATGGTTACTAAGGCAGAGAGCTCAAGACTGGGTAACTTCTGCAAGGCCTTCCTTTTTTCTAACAAAGTTGCGAAAACCAGATTAAACAATATGCGACTGCGACAATTGTTTCTTATCTGAAGGAGACACTTGTGAGATATAGAGTGCATGAACCGAGGCTTTTATCACAATGTGAGTGTGTTTAGGTCGTGTAAGGATTGTTAGCAGCTTAGCACAATTAAAGGTATAGGCGCGGGATGTTACTCAATTTCACTTAAACTTCCCTTCCAAATTGCTCCTTCCTCGAGCCTTGTTGAAGCTTTAACCTCACCTGGGTCCCATCAGCGTTCCAAGTGGTGCATATTGGTCGTGCTCATCATGCGACACTTGCTACTCTGTGATGGAATGACTCGCCTTCAAGGTTTTATCAATTTTGTGGGCAAATGACACTCACGGCCGCGTGGCGGTAGCAACTTTGCCAATGGAAGCACGCGAACCAGCATCAACCTAGCAAAATTCATCTGACTGATTATCTGTGATAAACACAACTTATACTGAGGATTGTCAATGTCATGACTATTGCTAAAGCTTAGTGAATGTTTTATTTGAG